TTTACCTCATTCTATTGAACATTTTTCTGAATGCAAGCCATACACTGTATTTTTCCCTACATACATGCAAGGTGGAATATAGTAGATTCTATTCAGCTTTAATACATCATGAATATGGCCATATATGTGATGGGCCTGCTTTTGCTGCCATACACATAAGTAATGGAAGCAACCCAGTTTTGCAATATCTCAAAGATGAACAAAGAGGTTTTCCTGGATGGCAGCTTGTTTTATTGAACACAAGACTCTTGGAGTTTTTACTGAAATATGGTTACATAGCTATCCTCCCATTGGCAACAGATATTCCACTGCCATGACAGATGTGGATCATGTTATTCCCACCAACCAGAAAAACATCAGCCTCTGTATTTTGAATCCCAACCCTCTTAATTTCTACCAACTCTATTGTTTTGTCCTGTCAATTTAGGGTGACCCAAAAGGAGGCGGGGCTTTGTCACAATGAGATTGGTCAGGTTTCAAGAGGTTCCTGAAACTGACCGAGACCACTTGGTTTCGACCCCTCCAAACTTGGGGTGTGTGTGTGACTTTTACTAGGAGAAGTGAAATTCCGAAGCAACAGAATCTGACTGAGAAGGGAGGTGACCCGGGAGATTCCTGGACTGGCCTGTCTTTGAAGTGGCAATCTGGAAGCAGAACTGAGTGGGCGCCATCTTTGGCACAGAGCTGTGAATGCTCCAAAGGCAGAGAGCGGAAAAGAACAGAAGGATTTTGGAAAAATAATCTTGACCAAACTTGAAGTGGTTTGTTTTACATATGGAACTGTTAAGAACCTAAACAATGAAGAGATTGGGTATAATCTGTCAGACCAAGTGACTAGACCTATATCTGGCCAGACCGGCAAAAACTCCCTCCTACCCTTCATCTGAGGCTTGGCTGAGAGAAACATAAAGAAAGGAGTAGGAAGGGGGGGGGAACTAACTTGCTCCTGCAGGACAATATAATTATAAACTGCTGATGGATTTAAATCTGTGAAGCAGCTATAAACAGTCTTGGGAAAAGCCCTTCCTCATGTCAACCTTCTGCCCCAAGCTACTATTGTGAGTAACTATTGTGGTCACTACCTGCTGGAAAGAAACCCAGATAATACCTCCAATTATGGGACAAGAAGACGTCCTCAAGAATATTCAGAACATTATACTTAATGGACTGCACCAGATGGAAACAGAGATGGATCAGCCATTTGAAAAAATTAAAGATGTGGGGACAGAAATGGAATTTACAGGGAAGACTGAGAAAGAAGTGAAACTATGACAGGGAATCAATTTTTTAAAACCACAAACAGAGACAGACAATTTTATTCTTAAACCCCAGAAGGTTCTAGAAGAAAAAGTTGAAGATACAATGCAGTGGAGAGCCAATTTGTTAATCCCCCTTATGGAGAAGTCAACAGTGGAAGTGCAACAAATGGCAAAGTTTACTATGAACTTTGATATGAAAGGGAGAAGAGTAGAGATGATGGGACACATGCTGTGGCAGATGAAACAAAGGAGACAATACCTGGAGTGGATGAAGCTCTTGAGAATGGATGTGTGGTCCATAAAATGGAAAACTAAAGAAGACAGGATAAGAGGGGCACAAAATATTGGTTAGAATAAGGAGACAGAGCAGCGGAGATAGACGTTGTTAAATCCAAGAAGGTATTTGTGGTGAAAGAGTATATGATAAAATAAACACAAATTAATGGTTATAACAGTGATTGAAAGCAATAGAGCAATTTAGAATAATAAATATAAGATGACAGAATAATATTACACCTATAAAACTAGTAAACTTAAAGATAAAAAGAGAAAGTCCATGAAAATGGAAGATTAGTAATGATAAATATTATAGAAAATTGTTATAATGTTTTTTCTCTCTCTTTGTATGATTTCCATCTTTAATACAATTTTATAAGCGGATGTAAGAATACTTTTAGCTTTCTGGAATTTTACCCTTTCTTACCCTTCCCCCCCTTACCTGGCCCTCTATTTGTACCATAACCCTTATTCCTATGAAAATGAAGCAAAAATATGTTACAAGTCAATATAGGGTGACTCCATGAATAAGCGATCTCCGAAATGCCCTATCCTCAACAGCCCTGCTTGTGTATATGTTCAAAGTATATTGAACATTGCCAGTCTGTTGGCCATTGTGTTGTTTTCCATATTTGTTGGCATATTCTTGTTAGTATTGTGACAGATTTAGTCTGTGTTTTGAAATAGATAGTTATGTATAACTGCTTTGACTGTGTTTTAGGATTACTTGGGTTTCCCATTTCTAAGAGTGGTATTTATTTGTTCCTTTTTTATATTTCTATACAGTGGAACCTCTGCTTACGAACGTCCCTAGCTACAAATGATCCAACTTATGAACAGCTCTGTTCGCAAAATATTGCTTCTGCTTGCGAATGGAGCTTCAAAATACAAACAAAAAATTGCGGGAGAGGTGGGGAAAGCGCAGAATTTGAACTTTCAGTTGACTGTAATATTAAATTAAAATTAAATGTGAAAATTAGACTGTAATTTAAAAATGTAAAATTTATTTATTTATTTTTGCATTCTGTGGCTTCTGGAGTTTGTGTACTGTGATCTCTCTGTTGTTTTAAAATGTGTGGGTTTAAAATGTGACTCCAAAGTTGTTGTTTTTTTTCCCCTTTGGGGATCTGTTTGCTGTAATAAGGGTTGCTGGTTGTAGATGCAGGCAGGCTGTAAAATGCAGTTTAGACTCCACAGTCTTTTTTCCCCTTAAAATCAGAAAATATTCTGTGAGGGGCTGTGCTGGCTGTTGATGCAGGCAGGCTATAAAATGCAGTTTAGACTCTCATTTTGTGATGAGTTCTGCGCTGGAATAATGCGTTCTGGATTCTGTGGCTTCTAGGATTGTGTACCCCCCTTGTCTTCTCTCTCTCTTTCTTCTTGTCTGAGGGGTCTGTGTGCCCCAGTGATGACCTTCTTTCTTTCTTTCCTCTTTTCCCCATTGTTCCTTCCCTCTCCCCCCTCCTGCCTTCCTTTCCTGCCCTTTTTTTAAGCTAAAAGGTACTTGGCTTGGCTTACTTTGGTTTAAAAGCTGCTTGTTTTTAAAGGTGTTCTGTTTAGCTGTTCCCTTCCCCCTCCCTCCTTTCCTGCCCTTTTTTTTTACCTCCTTTTTTGGACCTAGGTTCGTCTTAGGTGAAAAGAAGAAAAATTCTCCCCCTAGTGGTAGAGGACGGATTAACCGGCTTTGCATTCATTCCTATGGGAACTAATGCTTCGACTTAAGAACGGCGCCTCTAGATAAGAACAAAAAATAGCAGGAATTGATTAAATGGTTTTCAATGCATTCCTATGAGAATTTTTGCTTCTACTTATGAATGTTTCAACTAACGAACATTTTCTGGGATGGATTAAGCTCGTAAGTAGAGGTTCTACTGTGCTTAGTGTTATCAGCTTCAAATATTGCCTTTTAATGATTTACTGTATGCCATCTTTGTATACTTATTGTTTTGTTCTTAAATGTCTTTTAATGTTGCAAGCCACCTTGGGACCTTTTCTAAGGAGAAAGACAGGGTAAAATATTTGTTGGTATTTGTGGTTGATTTCCTTTTAGTGCTTTCAGAGCAGCTTTCACTTCATTTTCTAGAACTGTAGGTTTTTCATTATAAGAGTCTTCCTCAAAGAAGTCTATGATCCTTTTATCTCTTCTATATAGGTCTTCAATACACTGTTAACACATTCTCTTTCATTTCTCCTGGTCATAGAGCATACTCCCCTGTTGGTACTTCAGCATTCCTAATCTAGGCTTAAATTTTTCTTCGATTTTTTGGATCACCTGGAAGATATCTCTTGTTTTTCCTCTTTTTTCCTGTTTCCGTGCACTCTTATTGTAATAGTTCTCTGTCTCTGTGTGACAGTTGCTGAAATATTGTATTCAGGGTTCTGATACTGTTTCTATCACTTTTTACTTTTCACCTGCACTTTAAAAATTTAGGTATTTCTTCCATCATCCATCTAGGTTTTCCTTTTCTTTTTATTGCCGGAATTATCTTTTTTTGCTTTCTTCTCTAATAATTTCTCTGGTTTCAGTCCCCAGTTCATCTGGTTCAGGGTCCCTTGAGTTCACTAATACAAAGCTGTTCTTTATTTGGATTTTAAATTCACAGGAATGTTGTTTAAATTATGGTTTGGCACTATGATTATCTTAGTGTTCTTTTTCAGCTTTACTCTGATATTGGCTATTAACCATTCATGATGGGTTCTGACAATCTGCTCCTGGTCTTGGTCTGGCTGAGAGGACACTCCTTCTCCATTTCCTGCTTCCAATGGCAGGGTCCATTTGATTTCCATATTGACCATCTGGTGATGTCCATGTGTACAGCCCTCTGTTTCGTTGCTTGAAGTATGTATATGCTCCTTAGCACAAAAAAGGTTTAACACTTTTTTTTAAAAGCCAGTGAAATTATGTGCTTGATCCAAATTTATGCAAAAATAGACTGCTGCAGAACAAAGGTGGGGCTAAGGCTGGTTTGCCTCGCCAGGACGAAAGCTAGACGATTACTGCAGCAACCGTCCACCTGTTCAATCGTTTCCTCCGTAGTGACCTCTTTCCCCCTTAAGCTTGTTTTCCTTCGACTCGCGAGTTGACAAGCTCCACTTCAGTATGTTTCCAAGGCTGTATTTAAAAGAAAATAATGAAAAATGTCCCCATGAAATTACAAGCCGCACAAACTCCTACTTTGATTGCCGACCTGGGTGGGGTGGGGATGCTACTGTCAAACCACAAGGACGATGAAATTTAGAATGGATTTCTAAAAGGCAGTTTTCAGTGTCACTGCAACGCAAGGGAGGAAAACAGCCAGCTATCGAAAAGAAACATACAGTACATCTATCTCAGGGTATCATGCAATTTCTTCCCTCCGTCAACTGTGTGAAGGAGCGTATACATCTGCTTTCCTAGGTCTATGGGTCCGCCCACCTCATCCGGGTGCCCCGTAAGTTGCTTCCTCTTCCTGGCGAGAAAGCGGAAGTTCTTTTGTTTTGGTGGCGCTGGGCATTGTGGGAAGGCCGGTCTCCTCCGCGCGCCTTAGCTTGGAGGTGAAAGAGGCCTGAAAGGAAGCGAAGAGGCGCTGCTGGCAACGGAGGGGGGGCTGCCTCCTCCTCCTCTTCCTTCGCTTTCATTACTCGGGCAGGTAACCGGGAAGCGGGGCCACGGCGGACCGGGTGCGCGTCCTCCTCTCCTCTCTCTCCCCCCTTTGGTTTTCATCGGCTGGGCGTCCTGCAATGTGGCAGAACGAGTATGTGTGAACGCCTGTGTCTTATCTGCGGCTCCCCCCTCGTGCGTAGGATGTTGCTCTGACTCTGGGGGCAGGGGTGCGGCTGTGACACAGCATCATCATCATCATCATCTGAGTTTTTCAGAGCTGGAAGGGACCCTCTGGACCATCGAGTCCAGCCTTTGTCGAGGCGGCTCAGTGGGGAATCGAACTCCCAGCCTCCGCACCCAGAGACCGAAGCTACTGAGCTATCTGTGTCTTCTCCCCCCTTTTACTTTCCTGAGAAATTGAAACCATTTATCACCGCGTCCCTCCTTCTCTTCTCCCCCCAAAAAATAAGGCGCCTCTAATTAGTAAGAGACACCTCCACCCCCATCAGGGCTTCATCTGTTGTGCTTTTTCTTCCCCAGGCTCACGAGGCTGCTTTCCTTGTGGTGGGGAAGAAGGTTGGCAGTGATTGGTAGGTCGATTTGCATAGCCCATGAAGAGGCTCCAGTTTTTCACCTTTTTTAACAGTACTTTTTTAAAAGAAGTTCTAAATGTAATCTCATAGAATCTTTGGTTTCAAAGATGTACAATTCATCCTCATCCTTTTAGGACTACAGAGCTGGAAGGGATGGATCATTGAGTCCATCTCCTCTCAAGGAAATTCATCCTCATGCTTTTAGGATTACAGAGCTGGAAGGGACCCTATGGATCATTGAGTCCATCTCCTCTCAAGGAGGCGTAGTGTGGAATTGAACTCCCAACCTCTGGCTCCCCAGCCAGAGACCTAAACCACTGAGCTGTTTGTTGTTCTGATTGTCATGTATGTTTTATTGGACTCCCGAGCTTATTGACTGTATTTCTTGTAGCAGCCTTTATGTATCTAGCTTGTGTGGATTGGCTTTTGAGGTTCTAAAGGGCAAATTAGGTCAGGCAAAAGGAAAGTCTGTTCTGGAAGAACAATTAATATTTATGGTATACTTGTGTTTTTCTTCTTTGTGGACAGCTGATAAGGTTTCTTCTTTCTTCCCTCATTATCCCCGTTTTATTTTCAGTCCTGTAAAGTAGGGTTGATTGAGAGTGTGTGACTGCTTTAATGGCTCATTGGGCTTTTGAACATCTGTTATTTGGTTTTATGTCAGCACTGATAACTACACCATGCTGAGTGCCATGCATATGAACTGCTACATAGTTCAGTGGTCAGGAGTTCATTTCCCCACTGTGCCTCCTTGACAGGGGCTGGACTCCATAGGGTCCCTTGCATCACTGCATTTCTGTGATTAGGATTATTTTATTCTCAGTTTCTTCAGATTTTTCGTAGCCTCTTTAACATCAGTCTGCTTTTAGAAAATACTTTTACGTTTCTTACTATAGATTTTGGCATTTCTTTTTCTTCTCAGTTATCTTTGATGAACGTGTCAGCATCAAAGCTGGGAGCTAAATGGAAACAGTTGTCACTTTCTGTCCTGCTTCTGAACTCCCCAGAGGCATCTGGCAGGCCACTGTTCGAAACAAACTGCTTGGCCAGATGGACAGTTTGCCTTATTTTATTTCTATATTCCACATTGTGCTTTTTTTTCTTTTGGAAAAAAGAGCTGTAACAATAGAAGAAAATAAGCAATAGTTCAGTGTAACTTAGATCAGGTTGTGACTGAATTGTGCACTGCATTGCTTGAGCAATGGCAAAAGAAATATTTGAGTTTGTCACCTTTTGACTTAGTGCATAATGGACAGTTAAGATACTCACAGTTTCTGTGGGAAAATTATCTAGAGTCTCTGAGACTGGTGTATCCACAGTGTAGTCTTGTGTCTAGTTGTCCAACTTCATCAGTAAAAATGAAGATGAAACAATAGCCAGCATGTAGTGTTCAATGTGTATCTTGTTCACTTATTTAATCCCACCTTTCTGGTGTGGAATGACAAAACAATGTGATATGTTATGCATTTGCAAACTAGCTTACAGTGGACCCTCGACTTACAGACGGCTCGACTTACAGACTTTTCAAGTTACAGACTTCTCTGGCTGCAAAATTTAAGTTCAACTTGCAGCCAGAGAATTGACTTACAGACCAGAAAAAAACCAACATGGAACAAAAACGGCCATTTACAGATTAATCGGTTTTCAATGCATTGTAGATCAATGGCAACTCAACCTACAGACTTTTCGACCTGCAGCCACCATTCCAATACGGATTAATTCCGTAAGTAGAGGGTCCACTGTATTTCTTTTTTTGAGTTCCATCCAGAAGCACACCTGTGTTTTTTCTCAAACAAGTTTTAGAATGTACTGTTTTGCCTTTCCAAAAAAGATGGATGATGTCTACAATAAGAGATTTAGTATGAGTAGTGTGTTTATTGTGTATATTTTGATGCATCAAAATTATGGATTGTTGGCAGCAGTAGTTCGTGTTGTACTCTAGTCATTATTTATATCATGTTTTTAGTTTTTCAAAGAACTATACGATCTTTAGTGTGTTTGCATCTGATATGCTATAGGATAGAATAATTTTAGTCAGATTTTTCAAAAGGCAAAATATACTTGAGATAATACGTTTTAGTGGCACTTTTAAAAACATGCAGTTAATTTATGGATCATTTTTGTTGTGGCTGTAATGTAGTGTGCAGTTCTGCTCACAAATGGTTTTGCAAATTAGTAACCAAGATGAGTGAGTGCCAGCTGAGACCATGCTAGTCCATACCTCTTGAATTTAGGAAGTTTGGATTAATTTAGGACAAGACTTAATTCATGCCAGCATATTGGTCTGCAGGATCTGAAGAACTCAGCTCCTGTGGGATTCTGTCCTTTTTCAACCCTTTCTGTGGCCAGACTTTTAACTGGCCAGCAGAAGTGATTTCTGTGAGCTTAAAGCAGTTTCTGCTATATGAAGACACTTCTGCCTGTTCAGCCAGTACATATTTGAGAACCTGCAGGGGCTATGTATTGATCATGCAATACAGATATGTTATGTAAATGCTGTTATTGCAAATGTAGCTTAAATTCCAAGGTCATGATCTATGCGCATTCGCTTAGGAATAAATTCCATTAAGCAAAGCAGGGTTTGTTTTTGAGTTAATAAACATAAATTTGTTCTGTAAATTATATTATACTTACTTAGGCGCCTAGATGTTCACACAGTTTAATTATTATTTTTTTGGACAAACAGTGTCATGTCTGCCTTGATGGAATTAAGTTATGCAAAAGTCTAATATATTTACTTTTTTTTCCACACAGAACTGTATTTTTCCTGATTTCTGCAAAGCCTGGAATTCCTCTTGTGGTTGTAATGCATGATAGGATCTGCAGCCAGTTTAAACAGCACTTTCAGAAGACAGTTTCTCCTCCTAAATCTTTAATTTCTTCTCTATTAACGAAGTCTTCACTCTTAGTACTCTTTTCACAATTGTATAATTTATTTGCAAACACAAATCACTGAACTATCCAGCGGTTCTCCTTAATTTTCTTCACTGCAGCTGGAGTGTACAAGTACAGAGTGGCCAGGAACACCAGCTTTTTTGTTTACTTCCTTGTTGACGCATTTTAACAGGCCTTGGAACAGAAAAGACTTGTTCGAAATCCTTGAATGCTTTTTTAAGGAAACGAATAAAATGACCATCGATTCAAAGAAAGGAATCACTTTTTCTCATTGTTTGCAAGGCACATAAACATACAATCTTCTCTTGCAAGCTTTATTCCCTTTTTGTAGCCATGGCAGCTGCCACAATAGTACATGATACTTCTGAAGCTGTAGACCTCTGTGCTCCATATGGGTTATACCTTAAGCCCATTACAAAAATGACAATCAGTGTGGCACTTCCTCAGTTAAAGCAGCCTGGGAAGTCCATTTCTAACTGGGAGGTGATGGAAAGGCTCAAAGGAATGGTGCAGACCCATCAGTTCTCAACGTTACGAATTTCCAAAAGCACCATGGACTTCATTCGCTTTGAAGGAGAGGTGGAAAATAAGAGTCTGGTTAAATCCTTCCTTGCATGCCTGGATGGCAAAACTATTAAACTTAGTGGCTTTTCAGACATTTTAAAAGTGCGTGCTGCAGAATACAAAATTGATTTTCCCACAAGACATGACTGGGATTCCTTTTTTCGTGATGCAAAGGATATGAATGAAACTCTGCCGGGGGAAAGGCCAGATACTATTCATTTGGAAGGCTTACCGTGTAAATGGTTTGCCTTGAAAGACTCCGGCTCAGAAAAACCAAGTGAAGAAGTGCTTATCAAGGTGTTCAGCAAATTTGGGGAAATACGTAATGTGGACATACCCATGTTGGACCCATACAGAGAAGAAATGACTGGGCGAAACTTTCATACGTTCAGTTTCGGAGGCCACTTGAATTTTGAAGCTTATGTTCAGTATGAGGAATATGCAGGTTTCATCAAGGCTATGAATGCTTTGCGAGGGATGAAGCTGATGTACAAAGGCGAAGATGGCAAAGCAGTGGCTTGTAATTTAAAGGTAGGTTACCACTGAGTTTTTGGTATATATTTTTAAAATGCCGCATGCTCTTTTTCTGTATGGTTTAAAGAAGTGGTTCTGAATTGCCCATTTCAAGCAAACTTCTACTGTCAGACGCCTGTTTGTTCGGGGTGGGGGCATAGTAGAAGCTTTTTTTCCTTGTAATATCTCATTTGACTCTGTTGGAAGTATTTATTTTAAATGTTTGTGTATCACTTTTTCACAGTTAATTCATATGGCATCATAAGTCACAGTAAATACCCTGTTTCCCTGAAAATAAGAACCTGAAAATAAGCCCTAGTCTGATTTTTCAGGATGCTCGTAATAAGCCCTACCCCAAAAATAAGCCCTAGTTAAGTGAACCCCCGCCTTCCACCATTGTGCAGCAACCAGAAGATGACATGACTGTATTTGAATAAATATAGATGGTTGTACATTTTAAAAATCCCCTGAAAATCCCTAGTGCTTTTTTTCAACAAAAATTAAGACCCTGTCTTATTTTCGGGGAAACATGGTAGAAATGAGGGAAATGTACTTTAATCCAGTTCAAACTACAATATAGATTTTCAGTCCATAAGAAGTTCCAAAATATAACTCCCAGCTATTACTGCCAATGCTTCCTGTGATTCTTAAAGAAATAAATGGGGAAGAGCCTATTTTTAAAGAAAGAAAAGCAAAAAGAGGATGATGGCAGGTTTAAAAAGACGATGGCAATCACTGAAGTTTTTCAATTGTTTTCCCTAATCAGTATATAATTTATTGAGTAATGTATAAGTTAGAATATGTTGATAGATATCTGAGGATAATTCATTGGTTTTTTTATTTGGATTAATTATGGGGAAGGGACATACACTTTAACAAGAGTCAGTGCAATTCTGGAAGTGGATTGGGGCTCCACAAAAGGGGGGAAATGACTGCAGCTCCCAAACAATCGCAGTGGGAGGGACACGTTTTTGTACAGCATAATTTTTTGAAAAATTGAGGCAATTCCACTGATCAATGGATTCAAAGACTTTTTTTTCTCCTGTCTCTATGAAAGGTGTCATTTGATTCAACAAAACACCTTAGTGATGCTTCAATTAAGAAACGTCAGCTTGAAAGGCAGAAGCTTCAAGAGCTGGAAAAGCAAAGAGAAGAACAAAAACGTAAAGAAAAAGAAGCAGAGGAAAGACAAAAAGAAGAGGAAAGGTAGCTCTTGCTGCTTCATAGGAGATGTTAAGCTTTTTTTTCCCCAGCTTTTCTATGCTTGCAAAATGTAGTATACTAGTCTATCTTGTATATCTAAGGAAAATGGTCTTCCAAATCTATTTGGGTCTTTTAAATGAATTTGTATCGCTGGACTTTATGAACAAGCACATTTTAAAGAGCTATGTACTGGCCAGTAAAATGGGAACTTATCATTCTGTGTATATTCTGACTATTCCTTTTATCAGGTAGAAAGCACAGTGAAATACTGTTGGTATTTGCTTTTGATGATAAAATAAATATTGGCAAACCAGCAGTTTGTGAGCAAGGCCTTTCCATATATAGCTAGCATGTAAAAACTGCCCTGTCATAGGTAGCTAGATATCTGTTAATAATATATTTAAGAAAGATGCTGGAAAGCTTCTTTAGGTCTGTGAGCAACCTGCCTGAGATGGCTGTAGCTTGTAATCTTCTTATTAGTGTTGTGCTCCTGTAAGTGGCATTTAGTAAATGCCATTTAGTAAATTTCTTGTGCTGTCTTACTTGTCAAACTACTAGTACTATTATACACAAGATGCTTAAAACAGTAATTTTGATATAACTGTTGTTGGGATGCTGGTTGAGAGGTGATCAATACAAAAAGAAAATTTTGACCGCTGTTTTAGGCTGTTTTATTCATGTCAGTTTTCTTTAACAGGAGTTCAGCTATTTCATCACAGAACTGTTACGTTCAATATTCTTTGCACGTTACTGGCAGTTAATTTAATATCAACTTTTGACATTATTGCAATTGAGATTGATGTAATGTGCTTTCTTAGGAAACAGAAGGAATTTGAGGAATTAGAAAGAGAGAGAAAGAGAGAAGAGAAACTGCGGAAGAGAGAGCAGAAACAAAAGGATCGTGAAATGCGTAAAAACAAGAAAAAACTTGAAAAAATTCAAGCTGAAGAACAAAAAAAGCTGCAAGAAAAAATAAAACTAGAGGAGAGGAAACTTCTGTTAGCTCAGAGAAACCTTCAGTCCATTCGGTTGATTGCTGAACTGCTGAGCAAAGCCAAGGTAACTGATTTTAGGGAGCATATTTCTGTGGAAAAACAATTTTATTTTTAACTCCAAGTGTTAAAGGTGGGTTTTTAAAATACACTCAAGAAATTTGTAGTAGCTAACTATTATGTCTCCCCAGTTCTGTAATTTGACAGTTCTGTTCTTTTTTTACTTGCTTAAATAAGTAATAGCATCATCGCTGATAAGAGTTACCAATACTTGGGGAAAAGAGGTCATATCTATGTTCTGGTTTCATTTTGGCTGTGTCAGTATATTCTTTGCTCAGTGGGACTGTTAGAGTCAATACAGAGATTTAATATATAAACTGCTTGTATTTTCCAGACCTGCCGAGAATTTTATTGTTTTCCCAGCTCAACTGCCCAAAAGCCAATCCGTATACACCCTTAATATGTCATTTCTGCTACACATTTTTGCCCCGGCGTCTTTCACTGGATGTGAACAAATAATGATAATAATAAAAAAACACCCAATGGCAGAATGCATTAGATTTGTAGGAACAATTTCAATCCCAGGTTTTTTTTGTCTGTTAAAATATAAGAATTTGGTGACGTTATTTACAGCCCTTTCAGTCACAGAATGCTTATAGTTTATGTCTACTTCTGTGTGAATTTCACGACAAAACATTATGCTGGGGAACCAAAACATCCTGTCTTGATCATGAGAATTAAAGTCAGTTCAGATACCTAAGCTGGTACTAGATGTTGTTCTTTGAGTCTTAGTAGGTAGTAGATGATGAGACGGGTGACATTTACATTATTCCAGCTTCACTGGTTTTTAAGGCATTTCCTGATAATAATTATTTGTTGTCAACTTGCTTGTAATTTATGGTGTCCTTCCCAGGATTTTCTAATTATAAATTACTAAGAAAGGACTTGCCACCTCCTCCTTCTAATGACACTCTGGGACCATGCAGCGTATACAAGGCTGCACTGGTGGCGAGGCACATAACCTCATGTACCTTTGCCCTTAGCTGGGCTGCATAGTAGGGTTTTGAGCTTCTGACCCTTTGCTCCAGAGCCAGGCTTCCTAACCCACTGAGCTATACAAGCTCAAATAATTGTATTCCATCAATTTGAATGTGACTCACTGTAACTGGCACAGGCTTTTTAGGTATGAAGCAGTCAGAATGGAATGTAGTGGTGGCACTCTGGAACTAAGCAGAAAAGATTAAGAAAAGTTAAGAAAAGATTGGTTGTTGTGGGTTTTTCGGGCTCTTTGGCCGTGTTCTGAAGATTGTTCTTCCTAACATTTCGCCAGTCTCTGTGGTCGGCATTTTTAGAGAACAGCACTCTAAGAAAAGGTGTTTTAAGTATGTCAACTGGCTTGTCCTTCTGGATAACACAAAAGTAACTATTTTGGCATTGGCATTATTAAATGTAGTTTATTTCTAAGATCTGGTTGATAAGTATATACAAGTGTGTGTTCAGATAGTGGCTGAAATCCTGTTCAGTAAGTTATGCTGTGTAAGACTGATGACATCATTTGCCTTGTTAATTTTTCAGAAATAAAACTGTCCACTGTGAAGGTCACAATGCTCCCACAGGATACCATTTGGGACCTGCAGGATGGAAGGGAGACTTTAATTTCCAGTAGTAAAGCCATCCTAGCTATGATTTTTGAAATTGACAACTTACCCTGTGCTGTGGCCCCCAATGGCTTCCTCACAGTGAAAGAGATTCCATAGGAGCTTCATGACCTTTAGGAGGGGAATCAGATATTGCCATCAGAAATTGCCATCACTGAGGGTGATCAGTGTAGCTGCACAAACAGGATTTCAGCCATTGAGCAACATATATGGTTTGGGACCTAATTATTTGAAGAACTGCTTCTATCCTGTATCTTACTTAGTCATTAAAACCTGTTGGGAAAGCTCCTCCATGTTCCACCTGCATAGAAATGCAGGAGAAGGTTTTTTTAGCTGTGGCATCCTAGCTGTGGAATGCCTTCTCCTTGAAGACCTGACCGGCACAGACATTGTCTTTATTTTGAAGCCTCACTGTACCCCAGTGTTAAGAATCTAGTGAGATTGTGGATTGGTTTCCATCTTTTAGTGTCATGGTTTTTGCTTTCGTTGAATTGCTAATTTTTTGTCCCCCCAGTTTCAGTTTCCCTGCCCTGTAGAGTGTTTTTCCCCCTGAAATTCTGGCCATTTTAGCAGTTCTCTTAAGTAAGACTTCATTGTAGGATAAACATTTTCATATAGTTGCAAGAATTGAGTAAATCTCCTCTTCCCTCAATGTTTGTAGGCAATAAAGCTTCTGGAGCAGGAGCACAACAAGGAAAAAGTCCGCCTTCAACAATTGGAAGAAAGAAGAAAGCTGCAAGAAGCTGAACTCCGTCGTGTTGAGGAGGAGAAAGAGAGAGCTCTTGAATTGCAAAGAAAAGAGAGAGAATTGAGAGAGAAGCTGTTATGCAATCTCTTAAATAAAAAAATGGAAGCAACTCATCTGAAAAAAATTGAACCTATTGTACTGCAGACTATCCCTTTGAAACCTCCAGGAGGTGTTCATCCTTATGTCATATCTACCTCGCCTCAGTCCACCTTGGCAAAACCAAGTCACCTCTGTCAAAGCAGCATAATAGCTAGTGAGAGTCTAGGTTCTCAGCCAAAGTATTTAAATGGGAGCCTTCATGAGGAAGTTCTGATTAAAGACCCTAAAATTACTATCGGTAACAAGGGTACAATTTCTAGTGAAAGTGGTTCAGGTGTGCTTTCGTGCATCCCTGCAAATCAACAACACAAGAGTCCTCCAAACCATGAGCAGAACTGCCACAGGAAGGATTTGTTGTCTGAACCAGGCAAATGCAACAGAGAGCCAAGCAAGGGAAAAAGTCACGCCTACAGAGACACGCAGAACCATCATAATAAAGATAAAACTGAAAAAAGCAGACACAGAAGAGACTGGAGTAGCGATGATGAAAAAGGAAAAAAAGAAAGGCGCCTCCATAAAAAATATTCTACCAAGAGTAGCAGTACTCCCCAGAGGAGTTCAAGTCGAGAACATGCACGCCATAGACGGTCCTTGAGTACCGACAGAGAGCGAGATAGAAGGGGAAGCAGCCATGGTCATAAAAGCACGGGCAGGAAGCAGAAACACCAGAAGAGATCTCTGAGCAGCCAAAGAAACTCTTGGAGTAGGTAATAGAGGACTCTTGAGTTCCATAAGGGCTATCTAACAAATGGAGGAGAGTGGATCTGTCTTTCTGCCCAGGGAGAGGTGGGGCGAACTGATGGGGAATTTTACTTGAATGTGGTTTGTGGAGTCAAGAAACATATACCCACAGTCTCCCAGGCTCTTTTCTTAACCTTTTTCTGTCATCTCTGTGTTGGTTTACTTATAGTACCAGAAATTTTGATCATTTTTGTGCTCACATCTTTCCCTGTAATAACTAGCCTAGTTAGGTGTACATAATTTTACACACACACACACACACACACACACACACACACACACACACACACACACACACACACACACACACACACACACACACACACACACACACACACACACACACA